TTTTTAAGTTTTAATGTTGTACGCCGCCCAGAAGCCACTGGCAATGGTGCGGCTAAAAAAATATTGTAAATAAATAAATAAATAAACCATCCTGCTAATAAAAAGCATCTTACCTGAAATATGAGTCTGATTCACCTCAAGCTCAGGCTGACACAGTTTGATAGACGATTCCTGCAGAGTGAGTTGCTGCTGAAAGTAGGACATAAGGTCAGCCATCTTGCAATCATCCTCATTATCTTCAATGCTATAAAAAGAAAACATAGTTTGAGATCAAGGCATCGTAGAATAATAGCTGAACTATTTCTAGTACAATCATAACCAGATCTATATTGAAGCCCATTCATGAAAATAATCTTTATTTTCAATTATATTTGGAATTGCAGTATAAAAATAATCTCTTCTTTCCCATTTATACCATGTTCTCAATCTAATTCCTTGGAAATAATGGATTTTTAACAAATTTAGTCCACTTTTTTGTACTTAAGCTAGGAGTTACTTTTTAAAAAGCTACTATCGTGCAAACTTCACATGGCTTAAAATTCAGTATTCAACTGAAAAAAAGTGAAGTCACTAATATAGTTAGATCTAATACAGTCATTTAGACATATTTTTCTTACTTCTCTCTTAAAAGAAAGTAATGTTAATTATGGAGGATGGAAGAGGTACTTACCACTGTGAGCTATATTTACTAAAACCTGTAGGCATTTCTATACTGGCCCAAATCCTGTTGCATAGCTCTACACATGCAATTAGAATGATGTTATTAGCAGCTGCAAATCACCACTGACCAAAGGCTTCCTGTAGTGATTTCACAGTGCACAGGACTTCAATGTACGGTATACAAGTAACTTGCACTCCAAAACTGGCAAAGGCAACTTTTAATCAGTGGTGATTTGCCACTGCTGCAGATGTCATTCCTGCAACAGATTTCAGACTTTCTATCAGTTAAATCACTATAAAGCAATATATGACACGCGATTTCTGTAATCTAAATATGGAACAACAGATGCTGAATACTGAAGCTATCTTATCTACTATTTACCCTGGAAATCATGCTACCCTGAACACACCAATTTTGCCAGATTTTGGAAGTTAGGCAGGGTCAGTCCTGATTGCTACTGGAACAGGCAATGACAAAGGACACCAAACAAAGACAGGAAAAAAATTCTGTCTGAAACCCTGGTGTGTCATTGCCAGTCAAAGGTAGCAATACTGGTCTAGTTGGATAATTAAAAACAGATTATGCTTACTCAATAATTTTCTCTTCATGTCCATAAAAACGTTATTTGGACTATTTATTTATTTATCTGATTTGATTTCTATCCTGCTCATATACACCAAAGGTTTACTCTGGGCGGTTTACAAATTTAAAAACAATAAAACCAATAAAACCTGGATTATAAGTCTAGGATGGCAAAAGTATAAGAAATTAAGATACAGTGGTGCCTCACTTAACGAGCGCACTGTTTAATGACGAATCCGCATAGCGACAAATTTTTTGCAATCGCTAATGCGATCGCATTGCAATGTTTTAATAGGCAAAACATCGCATTGCGATGATCACTTCTGATCTTCGCATTGCGATGTTTTGGGAACAGCTGATCGGCGGTTCCAAAATGGCCACCGGGTCAACAAAATGGCTGCCCGCAGCGTTTTCGCGCCCTGCCCTTGCTTACTGGGCGGCGAAAATGGCGGCCGGATGGAGGATTCCCTGCATAGCGGTGAGGTTTTCCCCAATAGGAATGCATTAAACGGAGTTTAATGCGTTCCTATGGTGTTCCCCCCCGCATAGCGACGAACCCGGATAGCGACGTTAATCCTGGAACGGATTAACGGGGCTATGCGGGGCACCACTGTACGGCAGGAGGGAAAGCCTGTCCAAATAGCCAGGTTTTAAATTTGTTCTTGAAAACACCCAGAGAGGGTGCTCTTCCAACATTTTTATTCATGGCTTGGATGAAAGGAAGCAGGGAATACTTTTATCATGAATTGCACAAAATTGGATGGGATACCCTGGAACACAGAAACAAAATTCAAAAAGGTATTGACTGATGGGCTCAAGAACTGAGCTGAAAACAATAGAATGAAATTTAACAGGGATAAATACAAAGTTCTACAGCCCAGGAGGGGGGAATCAATGCGGTTAGAAGGAGGGAGATACTTGGCTCATTAGTACTATGAGCAAGAAGGAACTTGGAATTGTTGTAGATCAAAAGCTGAATATGCTATTTTAGACTGCATTAATAGAAACATAAGTCTCCAAATCCCATGAAGTACTAGTCCCCCTCTACTTGGCACTGATCAGGCCTCATCATGAGTACTGCGTCCCATTCGGGACATTACATTTTAAGGATGCAGATAAACTGGAAAAATTTCAGAAGAGGACAATAAGGATGATCTGGGGATGGAAGCCATGCCCTATGAGGAAAGACTACTGGCATGGCATTTTCCCTGGAATAGCCCTTGCATCTCCTACCCTCTTCTGTCCCCTGACCCCCCAAGTCATGGTGACCCCCTGGCTGCACCTCCCACAGTACAGGGTTGCACAGCCCCAATGTGGGACCTCCATCAGGGGCTAGGTGTTCCTCCCACAAGCCTCTAGTGCATAGGTATTAGCATAAGATATTAGCATATGCTAATACCTGTGCACTAGAGGATTGTGGGACGAACACCTAGCCCCTGATGGAGGTCCCACAGGGCACCCCAAAACACTAAGGAACTCTCTTGGCCTCTGGCAGGACTGGGCTATGCAACCCTGTACTGAGTGGGAGGTACAGCCAGGGGGTCACCATGAATTGGGGGGTCAGGGGACAGAAGGGGGTATGAGGTGCAAGGGCTATTCTAACTCATACCTTGCAAGGGAAATACCATGTCATAAAAGTGGTTTTCCCAGGAAGAGGCTTATCCATTGTACTTTGGGTATGCTGTTAATCTCTGTGTTTCCCCAAATGTGGGAAACTCAACTACATAATTTGTGTTAATGGGGCACTATGTTTGTCATTTTTATTTTTTATAATCTCTTTATCCTTTAGTTCCTGGCTGTTTTCACCATCCTCTACCATTTAAATTTGTAGCCATAGCCCCATTGGTGATGCTTTGCAAGATGGTTTCCCCCCCTGCATTGAAACACATTGATTACATAAGACCAATTTTTTTATCCCAAAAAAGTGGGGAAGTGTATGCTGCTGCTTTCTAGGAAAAACAGCAGCATACACTTTCTTCCCCACTTTTTTGGGATAAAAAAGTAGGTCTTATGTAATTAATGTGTTCCAATTGGGGGGAAAACTGTCTTGCAAAACAGGATAAAAAAAACTATCTTGCAAGGCAAGGACCCAAACATCGTGCACAACATCGCTCAAAAAAAGTCATTGTCTAGCGAATTCCTCATTTTGAGGCAACTGTCTAGCAGCGAGGCACCACTGTATAAAAAAAGTTTCTCCATGTATTTTGAGATCTGTGTACCCTGCTGGTCATTGCAAGAATGGAAACCTTTGAAATGACTGCCATCTAGTGACAAACACTAGAATGGTCACAAGATCAGTATTTTTGTTTTGAAACAGAGGGGTTTGTTTTTCCATTTCTTTCTGTTGAAGGCTAATCCCTAAACACCAAAGACTAACAAAAGAGCCTCATTAGAAAAAAGCAGAAATTTGCTTTTAGAAGGAACACACATTTAAAGGGAAAAGGCTGTTTATTGTAATACATGGTTGCCTCAATGTGCATTTGCCAAATTAGCTTGCTTATGTTTTGGGATTGGTAGACTGGGAAACAATAGAGATTTGTTTGCACATCTGATATTACAGGCACATGGCACTTAAGGATTTGCAAGCTTGCTGGGATAACAGTGTAACGGGGGCAACGATGCATTTGCCAATGTGGTCTGACTCTCAAGTGTAACCAGTTAGAACCCCTGAAACGTACAAGAGATAGTTGCGCGCTTAGATGCAAAGAGTCAGTGCTAGGAACACCACTCCTCCGTAGCCTGGCACCAGGTTCTTAAAACCCACTTCATTCTCTAACAGCCCATCAAGATCCTGTGGCTGCCAAAGAACAGGGTCCTTACTGATCGGAGTGTTTAAGCTATAGAACAGTCTCCCAAAAGAGAGGCTCTGGCTCCATCACTGTTGATTTTTAGACAAATAAACAGTTACGGTTCTGCTATGCTACATTATGCTTCTAAACAATGGCTGAAATCCACTGCCAGAAGTTACACAACGTAAGGCTGATGATGTCATCAGGCACAAGATGTTTTCAGAAATAAAAAAATTCCAATCACTCCTGGGGCTCCCACTGGATCCCTTTTGTTGTGGGGAAACTATTGGATGCAGTAGGAATGGGAGAAATAATTCCAAAAATCATTACCAGTGGCCTTTACTGGTGGCAGCAAAAGCAAAGGCTTGCCTCATCCTGCAGCCTCCAACAAATTCCCCATGATGAAAGAGATCCCAAGGGAGACTTGGTACCTTTGCAGGATGGGGGGAAATAACTGGAAATTTTTAATTTTTGAAAAATTGCCATGGCTAATGACGTAATCAACTTTATGTGGTGTAACTTCTGGCAACAGGACTGCAGTCATTGTATTGTACAAAGACTGATTTTACTTGTTTGTGTGTCTTTTAATGTCGTTTTACCTATTTAAATATAGAGAAAATTGCATATAAATTAAACAAACAGATCAATGAGCATACTACAGCATAGGTGCTTAACGTGTGGTCCATAGACATCCTGTGAGGTCGCAATGTCCTCACAGAGGGTCCACGAAGGCTTGAAGAAATGTTATGATCTTTTGCAGCTAAAATAGAAAGACTGAAAGCAAGAGGAAAGAAAATGCAGAACAAAATTTTAATTTCTCTTGCTTCTTTGTGTAAAACATGTTTTTTTCAACCTGCTGTCTCTATTAAAAACAAATACAAGTAAAAAACTGGTTATGAAAATAACTGTTTGATAGCAAATGGTGAGAACATGAAAGTGAATGATGCTGAGTGGCTGAGAGACAGTACATGACATTTCTTGCTACTGCGCAGTCAGAAGCCATGGGAAGGGAGAGTTGGAGTCAGTCAGTGTGAGTGAGCGTTCAGACAGACTTCGTGATTATGTTTCTTCTCTGATTTCTGCTAATGAAACCATTTGGTTCTTGATAGATACAGTGAATTTTTGATATTATCGCAGCGAATTTTATTACAATACACTTTGGCTAAGCCTCAGAATGGATTGTTGGCTGAATCCGAAACATAAAAGAACTGATGCTGTTGATGAGGGTGGATCCTGTTCAAAGCAAAATGAAGCTTCCTCCAGTCACCTTAAAAAGTGTTGCCGTTATAGCAAGGAATATCTGTCAATGAGACCGTTAATGAGAAGCTTTAAATAAATATTTGATGCACCTTGGAGTTTTAAATCTGGAGTTAAGTCTTGGTGGTCTGTGGCAGCAAAATATATTTAAAAACGGTTTGTGGTAAAGAAAAAGTTAAGAACCACTGCAGTACAATGCTTTGCTTGGTACAGCAAAACAGCACTAACAACAGCTATTCTACAAATGATAAAAAAATCCTATGCAAATATACTGCAAATTAAATCACATGGTGTTCAATGAAGCTTGCTCCCAAGAAAGTGCACACAGGATTGCATTCAATGTTCTTTTATTCTAAGGAGACAGAACAATCCTAACACCCTCAAGATGTCCCAAAGGGCTTGTGATAAGGCAAAAGTTTCCTTTTCTTAGAGAGATGTTACAGGTGATTCAGCATGTCGATTACAAGGTGCTTCCCTTAAGCTTGTAAAAAGCTCTGTAGACATAATACTGAATATTGATTTATGTCATTGCTGCCTATTTATGCTTTTCTGTCATGCATGCTTTTCTTTTTAGTTCAGCTGTTTAACATATCTAGCAATTTACAAACAACAAATTTTGACTGAAACAGAAAATAGAATACAAATTTAAGCAGTTACACCAGGATTGTCCAAAATTATTCATGACTGTATGTTCTCATTTCTTAAAACTTCTAACACAGCAGAAATAGTTGAGAATTTTATATACCAAAGAACAAAAAACTTCTAGAACAAAAGCTAGAATCCTTTTTGCTTTTCTTCTAAAGGCAGCTGCACACGTGGTTTTTCCTCCTCTGAAATTCTCTCCTCATGAGATTGCAAATACTGATTTTGCAACCAGGTGCACAATTGATTGAGCAAAGGGAAGCATGCTGGGGGGGATGTGCGCAAATGTTGTTATGCATGCATAATGCAGAAACAGGATTTTCGCCTATATAAGCAGTCATACTATCTGGTTGCAAAATCATTCTAAAGATACTGAAACAATCTACAACTGTTACCTACCAATTCCTTTAGTATGTGTGTCACTTCATAAAAAGTCATACAGTGGTGCCTCGCTTAACAGGCACCCCGTTTAACGACAAATCCGCATAGCGACGGATTTTTTGAGATCGCATTGCGAAGTTTCTAATGGGAAAAATCGCTTTGCGATGATCAGTAAGCTGTTTCGCTTACCGATTTTCGCATAACTATTTCCCAACAGCTGATCGGCGGTTCCAAAATGGCCACCGGGTTAAAAAAAAAAAGCCCACACGCTGTGTTTTCGCCCGGATTCCTTGCTTACCGGGCAGCGAAAATGGCGGCCGTATGGAAGATTTTCGCATAAAGGTGAGTTCTTTGCCCATAGGAACACATTAAATGGGTTTTAATGCATTCCTATGGGCTTTTTTATTTTGCATAGCGACGAATCCATATAGCAACGATTTTGGCTGCAGGGATATCATCGCTATGCGGGGCACCACTGTATTAGTACGTTACATTTAACTAGATACTGGACAGAATCCTATAGGCAAAGTTACACTTCCATAAGAGAAATCAGAAGAGTACAAGTGTACCCCGGTTTACAAAATTAATCAATTCTACGCAACGTTATGTAATGTGGAAATTTTCTAAACCGAAATACCAATTGCGCTAGGAAAGGGGCGGTGGCATAGGCGCAATGCACCCTGGAAAAACACTTTCGTACTGCAGAAAAAAGAGAGAGAAAAAAAAACGTAAACCAAGGCATTATTTTCCATGGATTTCGGTTTGTAAACTGAAAACTACATAAACTGAGGCGTTCGCAAACCGAGGTACCACTGTAGTACCATTCATTAACAATGTGCTGGCTTCATTCCCAGGAATGCAAACAGCACCTCATTGAGCTGCTATTTGCTATCAAGACTCATGTGAGTTATCTTAATTAAAGTGTAGCTCACCAGAGATTCTGACCACTTGGCTATTAACTGTGATAAAGGAATCTATCTATTGCAATTTAGTTTCTCTTCCATTATGGATCCAGCAGGATCTATCACAACTCATATAATTTCAAGCAAAAGTTATACTGATCATAACATATATAAGCCAGTATCCTGTTTATGCTAGCACAGCGTAAAGTTATGCAGGCTTAAATGTACTGGGCATTACATACGGCAACAAGGTATTGCTCCATGCAGTTATGCAATCAACTGTGCATCCCCAGCACAACTGGCAACACAATACACTGGTGGAAGTGCTTTGGGGATCGTACTTTGCCCTTGGTTGTTGCAGAACTACTACAAGCTCAACCTCCAGCTGCATGTGTACAGTTATACAACAGGATTTTGGTCACAGTATGTTGGCTTACTATACTGGAATGCTGTAAGATTGTATGTGTCATTTTTCTGCTGTGATGAGAAATACTCATATTATTTTTTCTGACTCTGTTTCTAGTTAATTGTTAATTACTATAGAATAAAATCTGGCAGCAAGGCAGCATTCACAAGTAACTACATCTTTATAAAACTGCACTTTAATCCTAGAAGTTCACTGATCTTTTGGTTCAATAAGTTATAGTGACAACTGAAATATACACAGCAAGCACTTAAAGAAGCTGTGCAGGCTAAGTATTAAACTGACAAAAAGCCTAGCCCAACACACTGTGAAATCAGTCCCACCAATTTCAATGGAACGTCTACGCACCAAGCTAAAGCATTCCTCCAGCAGCCACCAAACTTTCCTGCACACAGATCTCCCTGCCACTGAAAACTGGTTCTGCACAGATTCCCCGTTCTCCAGATCTTATCTTGCAGAATGAGAGAGAACTGAGAACTGTAATGTGGACTGCTCCCTCCTGAGTCCACAGGAACCCACCATTTCACCACCAGATTGTGCCCACTAACTGTGAACAAACTTTCCATTATACAGAGTGATGGTTTTTGCCATGATTACTCAAGGATATGACAGAGTACAAAATCACCCCCTTTTGCCAAGTTAGATTGTTTTCCATTTACTTATATCAGTAAACTCTGGCATATATAACTCCATAAAAGTCGGTTTTAATTGAGTTTAGGAATGCAAATATGCAGCCAGATAGTGCTTCAGGATCTTATCCCTTGAAATAATAAAGAAATATGCCATACTTACTAGCTCTTCCCAATAGTGTCACCATCTGGAGATCGGGTGTAGGTAATCTTAAACTCAATATCTGGGACCAGTTGCATAGCCAGACGGTAAAACTTAATAGCTAAACACAAAGGTTAACATCTACTAAAATAGACTGTATTTATATTACAATTACTGAAAAATTATTAAAACTGCTTCTAAAATCAGTATTTTCCACAGTTCTTATGCAACTGTTGTTTTTTTTATACCACTGTAATCTTACACCAAAAATTCATTCAAAACAAGTTCTTCAAAAAAGTGAGTAACTGTTATTCATTAAAAGGTGGAGGGGGATGAAAAATTGCTCACATCTAGCCTGTTTCCAAAAAATAAGCCCTAGCCTGAAAATAAGCCCTAGTATGATTTTTCAGGATGCTCGTAAGCCCTAGTCCCAAAATAAGTCCCAGTTAAGTGAAACCCCGCCCTCCACCACTGTGCAGCAACCAGAAGAAGTTGACATGACTATATGAATAAATATAGATTGTTGTACATGAAAAAAGTAAACATTCCCTGAAAATAAGCCCTAGTGTGTTTTTGGAGCAAAAATTAATATTTCTTATTTTCTGTCTTATTTTCAGGAAAACATGGTACTTCCATAAAACAAGTTGCAGTGTATTTCTAACGGCCCTAACAGAGATCAAGGCTTCTTGGTACACCACATATATTAATAACCGAGGTTCCTATAATATTTTCTGGGTATGAAGAAACTGCCTTCATAGACATAGACTCTGATCTCTCTCTCAGTAACATCTCTTAGCATTCCTATGACAGTCAAGTCCACTTGGACTCCAGCTAGTGCCCTGTCTACAATCTGCTAAACTGAAGTAAACTACAGCTCGATTTGTTCCAAAGCATCTTGGAAATGCATTTTCCCTACCAAATCTTACGGCAAAAACATGTTATTTTATACACAATACACAATTGTGTATTGTATATAAATTATACAAAATTACACACTCTCTTTTTTGAAAAGTGTCTTTATTTACAAAGAAGTTGCACTGACTTTCATATTTTTTGACTACAGCCTCCAGGGGTGTCTAGGAATTCCCTTGGCCAGAATTCTGGGCTTTAGCCAATAAACTACTGTAAACTAAACTAAACTACAATACAATATCAAAGTCCTCTCAGGCCTTTTTAATCACTTACAGTTGATGAATAAAGGCTCCATAAGACATAATGAGTCTAAGACTGAAGTGGCTGGGAGAAGCAAAGTTATGTGGGCATCATGAGTCCGGCAGTCTCCCTGACCATTGTGTTCCATACAGAGTGCCTCTTAGGAAATTACGAGACCCTTAATGGCTTTGCACCTCCCATCAGGTCCCAGGCATAGCCTTTATTCCTTAACTGTAAGCAATTAAAAATACCTCAAAGGATTTTGGTGCTTTTTTTACTAAAGCCCCAGAATTCTGGCTGGAAAATTTCCTGCAAACTTCTGAGGGCTATAATCCTCAAAATATGAAAGTCTCATGCTTGGCAACACATAGTCCTCTGAACCATCGATAATGGTATTTTCTTTTGCAGCAAGATTAATTTATCATAAGCTGCGAGTACAAGAAATACCTAGCTGTCAATCACATTTATACCTCCTCTTCTCATAGCAATTACCATTTAAAATATTAGTTTTTACTACAGCTGGCAATGACATCAACTCATAAGCAGCTGCCAGGATCCAGAAATTTACTGTGTAAGATTAAAATGCAAGTAAGAGATTACCTTCATAAAGAGCTCCATTTTGTTCTTGTTCCACTGCCTTCAGGAACAGTTCTCTTGCCTGCAGAAAAATCAGTGAATTGTTTAAGAATCACTTATATATGTAAGCAAGACAAAATTTATTCTCAACTATGAAATACAGCATAATCCAAAACATTACCGGCATTTAAAATAGTTTAAAAACACTAACATTTATAACTAAAATCAGTTCCTATTCCGATCTATTTTAAGTGAACATTTTATTTATAATCCTAGGTTCTATTTAATTTTGAAATTGGTATCTTAAATTCATTCTCTATTTGACTAGCATGATTACTGCATGTAATTAAACTACCTATCCAGTTTTGAAACTAGTCTTAAACCCATTCATCTATATTTCTATGAAACTAAAGGATATGCTTAGAAATATCAAAACATAAAGATACTGTCTATTTCCAAAAGCAAAAAACCCCATGATTTGTCAATGTTATGGTGACTAGTGTCACCTGAATAGAAGTAAATACCTACGTATTATTATTTTGCACCTATAGCAGACCAACAAAATGGGTAAGCAGAAAATCAAGCACCCGAGGGATCTCTAGAAATGAAGTCTGAGGCAGCTGGCAGAGAAAGAGTACACTATATCTGTAATATTCCTAAGAAGTCTTAAAACTGAGTTACATATCATCATGGTTTTTTGGTAAATGAAATTGTAGTTTGCAAAAGTGAATTTCAAAGAAAGAAAGAAAGAAAGCAATAGGATGCGAGAATATAATGCTGTTAGCTTACAGAAGAGATGCACTATTGTTCTTAAAAGATCACGTTCATTACCTTTTCCTCTTTTGCTAGTTCCAATTTTCCTTTGGCATCAATAGTCTTTACTGAAGCTCCTCTTGCTGATGGTCTGCAAGATCGTGCTTCCAAACTCGTAGAGCTCACCCCTGGGGTAAGTTCAAACATCCACTGTGCTCTGAACACCTGGAGTTCTGCCTAGAAATCCAGAAACTAAATCCAATATCTGGATAGATACGTCTACGTACAAGAGGTTAAGTGACATACATGTCACAAGTGAGAGGTACTTAAGATAATTAACTTCTCCCTGATTACATGAAGCAAATAATTCTTTCCGTTTTCTCCTATTTTTAAAAAATTAATAATCAGTAATTGACATTCCAATGGTGAATTTCATTGCATTTGTAACTACAATCAGAGGCCCAGCACTCAAGAAACGGTCATGTCAATCATGTCATAAGCCTCTCCAGACCATATCTGGAAGCAAACCAAGTAGGATTTTGTACTTCTTGACAGTTCCAGTCCCAATGGAGCATCATAAAAAAAGAGCTGAGATGTCAATAAGCTGGCTCTAAGAACAAAGCATCTTCTGTATGAAATATTCTGTGTCATCAAGTCACCCTAAGATGCTAGCAAAAGTTTTCAAAAACATAACTGTAAAGTCCTAGGTAGTGATGAATTTCAGCTACTTTTTCCAATTTTCCATCTGGGTAAATATGGTGAAGAACTGTTTGAGGGGCTAGCAGGCACTCCTGAACTAATTCAAAGAGGTCTTTACAGATCATTTAGCTTGCTAAAAACACAATATAATTCTTAAATAATTACTGTTTCTGCTAAACAGTAAACTTTTCACTTTAGAATTACAGCGAGAAAATCTGCTGTTAAAAAAGAGACAGCTGATTCTCCAGATAGGAGTGTGGCAGGTGTCACACTATGACGCTAGGATGCCTCAGTCTGTTGTCAAAAGATAGCATAAATAAATAAATAAATAAATAAATAAATAAATAAATAAATAAATAAATAAATAAATAAATAAATAATAAAAGAAAGGAAGTCTTTGCTTGCAGTTTACTATAGTTAATTCTTTGACAAATGGCCAAGATTTGCTATAAACAACAGTGCTAAAAGATTTTACACCAGAAAGAAACAAAGAATTACAGGATCTGTATGAATGAATGTACTTCCACACAGTAAAGATAAAAGAGTTACTTATTCTAAAGCAGTGGCTCTTAACCTTGGGTTACTCGGGTGTTTCTGGACTGCAACTCCCAGAAGCCTTCACCACCAGCTGTGCTGGCTGGGGTTTCTCGGAGTTGCAGTTCAAAAACACCTGAGTAACCAAGGTTAAGAACCACCGCTCTAAAGCATATCAGACAAAAACAAAAGAAGTACTGTATAAAAGACCACAAAAACATTGTGGCACATTAAAGACTAGCTGCTATATCTTAATGTGAGCTTTTGTGGACTAGTCCACCTCAGAGGAAGTGGACTTACCCACGAAAGCTCACATTAAAATATAGCAGTTAGTCTTTAAGATGGCACAATGTTATTGTTCTCTTTATTTTTTGTTTTGCTTTTGCCTGCTATGCTAGGACAGACTAACATGGCTACTTCTACTAAAACTTACTCTAGAGCCCCATTTATAGAATTTCCTATTAAAACTTCAATGTTATGAATATTTCTGCTCAAAATATCAATCCCAAGAAATAAAGAGCATTATCACACACTATGCAAAGAATTCCTATAGATTAGTGCTAAATGAGGCAAGTACATGAAGACTAGAAAAAATCCTCTAAATAACAAGACTAAAAAATGATTCACTTTCTGAAGACAAAATATCAGATATACCTGAAGGTTTGCTTCCCCAGACCTTTCATTGTCATCTGCTTTAACCACGTCAGGGTGACACTCTTCTTCACCTTCTGCCTGATAATGAATATATCACATATATTAAGTACCTTAAAAGGACACAGATTTTAACATGAGCTTTCTTATAAATGTGCTATTATGATAAATTTCCTGGTACATATCAAGATCATTTACAAGCATCCACAATGATATTTATTGTTATTTAACTTGCCTTTGTTAACTTGCTGGAATTATCTATACTGTATAGATAAACACAAAGGTATCAATTTCTAAAGCAGAGTACATGAACACTTCCTGCTGTAAACACCGTCAGCCAACATTTCTGATTAGAAAAATGTGCTACGAAGTATCTCTAATTTTATCATACCTGCTTATTCATACTTTTGACTGAAATATAAGCAATATGCTAACATTGCCTTATATAAAATTTCAGTAGGGAAAAAAAGGCAACCCATGTTCACAACATGGTAGCAAAGCGCTGAGCACAGAGAACAACTCTTCCAGCACCTTTACCCACAGCCCTTCAACCAAAGCCCAAGATGGCAAATAATTCAGGGCAGTGACATTCTAGCCTGCCAACTGTTAGTTTGTTTACATCTGTTATTGCTCAAGATTATTTGCATCAAATTTCTCTTTGAGTAGACTTTTGGTCTAGATGGGCGGGATAGATATCTAATAAATAAATAAATTATTCGGGGGCCATATTTAATTCACAAAATATTGAACAGCAATCCAGGATAAACTGTAGTAGTACTGTGTCTACCCCAGAACAGGTTCCATGCATACTATAATTACGAAAGTAAAACATGAACAGGCAGTATTCACTGCATGGAGATATTTGTACTCTTACCAGTTCAGATACAAGTAATCACAGCTTATTCATGCAACAACAGCAGAACAGAAATTAACAAAGATGTGACCAGATAACAAGAGCTTAACAAAACGTCAAAATCCTTTATTGCAAGTGCTGTTAAAGACCTTAATAATATAAGAATTAAGCCTGAAAAAAACACAGGTTTAAATTTGTTCAGTTTAAAATCTAAATTGAGGACCCTGGACCAGTTACTTAATCTAGTGTTGTAGCCTTATTGTAAAGACATAATAAGCAGATGAAAGTCAGAAGAGTTATGATATCCTAAACTCCTAAAGAAAGATGTAGGATTTAAACCAACCAAAGTAAAACTGGTTTAGGAGTTAAATCCAAATTCAAGTATATGCTGTAAAAGAACCAGAATTTCTACCAGAAAGCAGAGCAAAATGCAAATGCTAACACGTCATGTGGAAAGTATCTTGTATACTCAACGTTGTGCTTGAAAATATGGGCAATTCACCTTGAATTTCAATTTGGGGGCAGATGGGTGGGGGGGTGTCAAAAGTTTCCTTAACTATAGAAATAAAATGTTCTCCCCATTCATCCCCTTGACACACTATGTGTACAAAGGATTTAGAAAAAATGGAAGAATAACACTATGCCATGTATAAATATTTGCAATGTTATTTCTCCTTATGTCTGACAAAGTGGCCTTGTCCACGAAAGCTCACATCAAGAGAAAAAAAAACCCAGATGTTAGTCTTTAAGACTAAAAAAAACCACGTTTTGTCCCTTTTTTTAGTCCTTTTAATTTTTATTTTGTTTTTGCCTACAAAGTAGCCTGCTTCCAGTCGAAAAAAGTCTAATGATCGCAGCATTTTCATTGGTTTTTAGTTTTACCTACAGTTCATACAGGTTCTTTCTGGTTTGTAATTGTTATTTGAAGTTTTATGTAATTCTTCTGTTATTTTATTATATGTGCGTTAATGGCCTTCAACTCTAGCCGCCTAGAGTGGTCGTATAGACCAGATGGGCGGGATATAAATCAAATAAATAAATAAATAAATGTTACAGTGTGCGAGGAAGCGCCCTTGCCTTCGCTCCTCCACCACCTGTCCGGAGGGGGCGGGGCTTGCAAGCTCCCTGCTGACGCACGTCAACGGCCTTGAGAAGCTGGCCTTCGTGGAGGCCCCGCCCCCTCCTCGCGCCCCGCCCCCGCCCCTCACCATGCTGAGGCCCAGGCTCTTCCAGGCCCAGGCCGCCCGTCTCTCCAACGGTCACTCCTGTCAGGCTGCGGCGCTCTTGCCCTTCCCGAGGCGGGCGGCGGCGGCCTCTTCCGCGGGGTTCCANTCGCTGTTACCGAAGCGGGGCTCAGGGCCCTTCTTTGGTTTCCCCTCCCTCTCGAAAACAAACAAGCAGGGAAGAGAAATTAGCAGAGTTCTCGGTCGGAGAAGCGAACCACGCAGCGAGAGTCGCGGCGAGCGCGGCGTACGGCAGCCATTTTTCCGAAGAGTGAAGCAGGATCGGGCTCCGAGCGCGCGACGGACCGCCACTGGACTGAACCGTCGGAAGGGAGCAGACGAGGCGAAATGCTAGACCAGACGCTGCGCAAACGCGTAGGGAGGCAAACCGGAAGGAAGCGCACCAGCCAGCCCGTTAAGTGCGAGAGGACGAAGAACCATGGAGTTGACAGAAAGGAAGGGACCTCCTGTTCCTTGATGGTAGTACGGCCCCTATTGGAAAACGGAGGCGATATAAGAAACGTTGGAAGCTCTGGAAAGACTTCTTGTGTGATATGTGCCTTTTACTAGGCCCTTTCCCAGTTCGGGCGACCTTGTCCGTTAATGGCCTTCAAAACGTGCTATCATTGACGGCTCTCTTTCTTCTCACGTCTTGCACGCTAATGGCCATGGGTTCCCTTTTTGAGTCAGTCCATCTCTCAGGCCGTCCTCTTTTTCTATGGCCTTCCAATTTTCCTTACACAGTCCTTTCCAGTCAACCAGCTCTTGATACATCCAAAATACGATAAACCTCAGTTTAGCCATTTTAGCTCCTAGAGTTCAAACTTGATCTGCTCTAGAACTCACTTGATCTGCCTTTCTGGCAGCCGCTGGTATCAGTAAAGTTGTCCCAGCCACATGTCAAAAAGACCTCTTTTTCTTCTTGTTCCTCCCCCCCCTTCATTGTCTAGCTTTCATTGCTTAGTAATTGTGAATAACACATTCTGGGCGATCTTAGTCATTTTCTGCCTCGTTTTCTATATCCTCTATAATTGCCCTTCCAAGTCTCAGCCTTCTTCCAATTTCTTGGTTGTTTTTTGGTTGAGTATTGAATGAAAGTTTCACTATGGAAAATCTTTAACAATGTTAGCACTATCAACCTTAACATTACACAATTCTTTTTAAGTCATTATTTTTGTCATACTAGTGTTCAGCTGTAAGCCAGCTTCTGCACTTTTTTTCTTTAACCTTCCTCAGTAGTTATTTCATGTCATTCGCTTTTTTTCTGCCAGTAATGGGGATGTCATCTGCATATCTTAAATTACTGATGTTTCTTCCACCAATTTTCACTACTTTATCTGAATCTAAATGAGCATTTAATATATGTTCTCCATACAGAGTGAACAAGAGGGTGGACAAACTATCTTTGTCTGATAGCATTTCCAGCTGGAAACCATTCTGTGTCTCCTTATTCAGTCCTCACAGTAGTCTCTTGTCAAGCACGCAGGTTATACACCAGGACAATTAAATGTTGTGGCATGCCCATTTCTTTGAATCATATGGAGCTTTTCATGAGCCATACAATCAAGAGCTGTACTGTAATTTATAAAGCACACACCAATTTTCTTCTGAAATTCTTCAGTACATGCCTACAATTTAAAAAAAAATGATTTATTCTTGCCTTCTTCTGTGCAGGACTAGCAAGAGGTAGCTTGAGCATTATCTGTGAAAAGTTTTCCGTCAGTCTCACCTTTCACCACTGCTGCTGGACTGACTATAGCTTCACTTCAGTAGATTTATTTATTTAAAATATTTATATGCCACCTCTCTCTTAAAGGATCCAAGGCAGCTTACAATATTAAAAGAAACAAACTTAAAAGCTAAATAATAAAGTATTACAATATTAGAAAGCATGAAATGGATATCATATTAAAATTAATAATAAGAGCAATATTAAGGACACAAGTAAAACAGAAAAAAATGAGTCCTCTGCCTCCATCAGCATTGAAAACACTTTTCTTTTGCTTATACAAGCATTAACCTCTGAAGAGGATGGATAACTCTGGTGTCTCAGCTTTTGACTGTTCTGCCTTGGGTGACCCTGCTAGAAGTCTAGACGGCTAATGGAGTCTGGCCTCCTGGCAGTTCTGCTTTCAGTTCCCCAGACACACTCAAAATCTGTTACCATATTAAGGTGTACATCCAACACAAAAGAGACATGAAGTGGCACTAGATTGTGACTGACAGGTTTGCAGCTTCTGAGGGTAAAGAAACAAGCAGTGGAGATGGGCCTTGGAAGTTGCTTCAGCTGTTTCTTCATATACTAAATGGGGACACAGGGAGAGATCCCATTGGAAACCAGCGGGAATTGTATATGGTTTTGCATCCCTAGATAATGTCTTCCTTAAGCTGCAGTATGTCATGTGTGACCCTTCATATGTTTTTGTGTGCTGTCCCTCGGGGAAACCTTACTTTAGCTTCTGGGTTTTTCAAGTTGTTAATCCCCAAATGTCCTATCATCTGCCATACTCGGTGAACTCTTCAAAGTTTATACCAAAAGGTGGAGGGCCAGTATTTTCTGCACAACTGCTATGCAATATTCATATTGCATAGAGTGGTCACAACTGACTAGATAGGCGGGGTATAAATGAAATAAATAAATAAATAATATCATAGTCAAGCGTCCGTGGTGTGTATAACACTGTATAAATAACAAAAGTAAGACTACCATTATAGCCTGAGCTTTTTGTGGCCTATATACAGTATAGGGCACGTCTTCCCCAGCCTTAAGCACACAAGGCTGTGGTTTTGCTGAAAGAGACCACCGGGGCCCACCCTGGCAACCTGAAGGGCTGCCTTCCTCCAGCGCCCCCGCACCATGCGGGGGCGGGCGGGCAGTGAAGTGGCAAGAGGTGGGCGCTTGGCCGAGGCTCAACGCACCCCTTCCTTCCCCTGGTGCTTCAGGTCTTCCAGGTCAACCCCGAGGGTTCAAAAACCGACGCTCGAGGGGGGGGAATTCCCCCCACCCTGTTTCCCCCCCCTCCCTCCCCGGCCTTCCCATCTCCCGCCCGGGCTGAGCCCTCCTCAGGGGCGCCTCCTCCCCTTCGTCTTGCTGACGTCGCCCAGGCCCTTCTCCAGAGCAGGCGGCCCCCGCGTGCTCCGGAGAGCCACAAGGGGCGCTGTTGAGCTGTTTTCGCCCGGGAAAGCTCCCGCTTGCCCCGGTTATGTGGCCGTATTTCCCTTCGGGGCGCCGGTGGGGGGGTTTCCCACTCCCTCCTCCTCCTCCTCCGGAGGGGCGGAAAAGGCCTTCTTGCCTTTCTCCGGAGCGCGATGAGCTTGTCTCAGCCCTGGCCAGCATCTGCGGCTCCCATAAGCGAGGTCGGTGCTTTCGGGTCTCGTCCCCCTTTTGCAGGAGCCCACC